GGGCAAGATAAAATCGATTTTTTCTTTTTCTGGTAATAAAATTTCCTAAAAAGGAATTTATATATAATTTACTATGAAATTGATCATCGGGCATTACTTTTGTTGGCTACTGTACGTATCTGATATGACAGCTCACTAGGCTGTTTTGTGGCCGTAACTTAGCATCTCACAATCTGCATGACTTTATAAGATACGAGTATAGGAAAATTCTAATTATAAATTGCAGGAACTGTAGAAAGAGGTTGTAGGTAATCATGAGTTGCCAAGTAATTACAAGCCAAACTAGTATTGCTGATTATAAGTACGATTTATTAACTTTAAATCTTTATTTTTTTAGAATTTAGGCGGGTTAGACAGAGCTATTGTTGAAAAGTTAGTTCTTTAGACGAATAGTTCTTTAAAATTCAATCCAAGTCGAAACTAAAATTATCACTAGAAAATAATTTTAGAATTCAAATGGGCTGGACCAAAACCTACTATTGATGGAAGGAAGTTGGATGCTCAGAGCAGTGTTTAAAATTGGCATGCACAAGATGCACATGTGCACGAGTTTTTTATGAATTTTTAAAAAATTTATTAAGTGTGCACATAAAATTTTCCAAAAAAGATGAAAAAAGATGCACAAAATACATTTGTGCACATAATTTTTACTTTGAATTTTAAACACTGGCTCAGAGATAGTTGATCGTATTGAATGTATTGCGTTATATATGGTTTTATTATTAAGATATCGTTATGAGTCATAAAAAACTTATATTTTTTATTATTAAAATAAGTTTGAGTTTTTATAATACATAGTTAAATATACAATATAATTGAATCGATAACGATTGATTATTTCAAAATTAACAGATAAGGTGCATTTCGAAAACAAGTAGGATTTTTTAAATAGCATTTTTTAGTGTTGAATTATAAATCAGAAAAATAAAAGAAGTTTTTCGATTTTAATTTTGAAACCTCCATAGATAATTAAAAAAAAAATAAAATAAAACAAATTAAACATTCTTAGATATTTCACTCAACAACTAAAAAATAAAAATACGGGTCGTTTTTATTGAGTTGCTATAATCAAACAAAGCTTAAAATTCATATGGAGAATTTTTTTAGAAGAATCATATCACGAGATTACACGATATACTAACCAATAAAAAATATATATTACCAACATGGGCCCTTTCTACTGCAAAAGGCCCCATATTTTACATCACGAGCCTACGAAATTCCAATCTTAACGGGAATGGTACTGACCTAATAATTTAATACATCAATTAATCAATGATCTTTATATTCAAACTAAATTAAACTGAATAAATGAATTTAAATAACTTATTTAAATAATTTTTGTACTTATCTACTAAATTGACACGAGGTATTAATGAGCTCGAATAACTTCAATACTCTTCAATCGATTAAAATGAACATAATACAATAATATGATTTAGTTAACAAAGACCTGGATAAATAAATTAACTTTAATAAATAAATATGTAAGATAAAAATAACATAACTGCACTTTCAAAATTTAAGAATGACTTAGACCTAAAATTTTAACCCCATCCACCCGCCTAGATCAAACTCAACCCATTCACCTGCTCGCCCTGGTTGAAAAACTTCATAAACGATGAAATTCACTTTGTAACGATTTCAAACCACAAATTGCACCAACAACGACAACTCCAGTAACGACTCCAACGACAATTCTAAAGAACCCGAAAAAAAGATAAATATTAGCAAACAAATCGCCAAAAAATAATTATAGGCAAAAAAAAAAAACATACCATAAAGAAACTCTTAGAAGCAAAGTTGAAGGTTCATTCGAAAGATTTACACAAAAGCGTCAGATACAACGAGGAACCTAGAAAACCCAAAAGAAAAAAAGGGCAGTATCTTAAATACACAAAAAAAAAATAAAAATTATAAAAAAAAAACCAAAAATTATAAAAAAAATAAAAATTATAAAAAAAAATAAAAATTATAAAAAAAAAAATAAAAATTATAAAAGAAAATAAAAATTATAAAAAAAAAATAAAAATTATAAAAAAAATTATAAAAATAAAAATAAAATTTATAAAAAAAAAATAAATTTATAAAAAAAAAATAAAATTTATAAAAAAAAAAAATAAAAAATAAAAAACACCAAGAACGCGAAAAAAAAATCGTAAAACGAGTCAAAAAGATCATAAACGCCAGAAGCAATAGAGATGAAGCCCAGAAGCCTAAAAAGGAAAGGAAGAGAGATACTGTAAACCGCCAAAGAAAAAAAAAACACCAAGAACGCCAAAAAAGAAATACTGAGAAGCAAAGCCGAGGGTCCACTAAAAAGCCACATCATAAATCTGGAAGCACCAAGGAAGAAATTAGATGCCTATAAAAAAAAAAATTATATCCTAAACACGCACAAAAAATATATATATATATATAAAGGAAAAACGCCACAAATATCGAAAGTAACGAGAAAAAAAAAGTTAATATATTAAACGCGCTAAAAAAAGTAAAAAAATTCGTGAAAACGCTGAAATGGAAGCTAACGTCTAAAAGAAAGTAATAAGAAAAAAAATATTTACTGACTAATTTGAAAAAAATCCTACAAGTTCACAATTCAACCCGATGGTTTAGTATAAGCGAAAATTACTTACTTATTGAACATTTTATCCCGTCATTCAACCCTTTCGAGTATTGCTCTCATGCTCAATCGATTCGATATGAGATAGCATCTTCGTTCATGCTATTGAACCTATGATTGAGGTTGGACACGACTTTTCTTTCCATTCATTGATTCGTTTAGGCTTCATGACTATGCCGTTGGTTGACCAATGTGGAGAACTCAAGTTTTCCATCGTAATCCGATATTATCGTCCTTTCAATATTATAAAAAAAAGTTAATACTGCATCACATCACCGCCCTTTTTTTTTTATTAAGCGCGAAAGAAAGTACATAGCCAGCTCCTCTTTCAGAACCAGCAGACTTTAATAATAACAAAGTTAGAACACCCGATTTGACTCTGGGACTGGTTACCCTAGAAACTCAAACCAGCAATTCTCTTGACTAGTCTTGCGCGTGTCGATTTAACATCACGAAAATCTAATGATCAGTCTCACTTTGTGTAAAAGATTTTAATAACTAAGAAGCGGATGAACAGACTTTTTCAGGTGATCTTGCTTTCATAAAACAGAGTGCTCCGCTTTGCTCCGGACAATAACAAAGTTAATTTGAGACCAGAGTGTTCTCAAGCACCTCAAGCGATAGATCGGTGGCAACCTTTTAATTAGTTGGAAATTGAATAACTAGCTAAGTGAATTGAATGAAGTCTGGAGTTGTAGACCATCTTTTTTTTCCATAGAGTTGCTTTGTTGGCTAAAATTTTGAATCCGCATTTCGAGTGATGAATTTTTAACATGCCGTCTTTCAATTAACCACATTTACTACTCGATTAAATCTTGATCACAAGTTAATCACATTGAGGGAACTGCTTGAGAACACCCTAAGAAGAGTGGTTACCAAACTTGGTAGACCAGTAATCCTCTTGATCTGCGCAGAAGAGTAGTCTAGAGTTGTTCCTACTTTTTTTAAGAAACAAAATTCTCTCTATTTTTTAATTTTCTTGTCCCGATTTTTTTTTCAAAAAAACTCAATACAACGCAAGTTACTTGTGGATGATGATGCCCATATTTAATGATCGATTTTTGTATTTTTTTTTTTTTAATAGAGATGACAAGAACTAGAAAACCCAATATAATAAAGAGAATTTTTTTTTCTATCCTAGTAAGTTGCGAGTAAAAATTAAGCAAACTTACAATCATTATTCCGCGTCCTCTTCATTATCATCTATAGTATCTGCTTTTCGCTCATGATTAAAATAAGTATTTTCTTAGAAATTTGGGCAGTCGTAGCTTTTGGTTTTAGTGCTTAGAGAGAAAAATTTGGCCTTTTTTAGAAGTAGTTTATGATCAAAAAAAATATTATTAAGTACGCGTTTGATCAAAAAAAATAACAAAAAAAATTGTACTGTACGTTTTTGGGGTCCTTTAAAGCGGGTAATGATCTACATATTGTATAAGCTGTAGAATGACGGAAGTTCGATGCATTATGGTTACATAAGATTTTACATATAAAGAATAGGGTACATCATATGACAGCTCATCAAAAAATCGTCCAATTTCTACGAAACTTTACTAGGATGTTCTGTGGCCGTAACTATTTCACGCATTTCACGATCTGCATGACTTATAAGACACGAATATGTATAAATAAATGTATAGGAAAATTCTGATTATAAATTGCAGAAACTGTGAAAGAAGTTGTAGGTAATCATGAGGCACCGAGTAATTACAAGCCAAATTAGTATTGCCGATTATAAGTACGATTTATTAACTTTAGATCTGTTTTTTTTTAGAATTTAGGCGGGCTAGACAGAGCTATTATTGAAAAGACAGTTCTTTAGACGAATAGTTCTTTAAAATTCAATCCAAGTCGAAACTAAAATTATCACCAGAAATAATTTTAGAATTCAAATGGGTTAGACCAGAACCTACTATTGACGGAAGGAAGTTTGACGCTCAGAGATAGTTGACTGTATTGAATGTATTGCGTTAGATACAAGTCGTGATGGTTATTTTAATATGATATCGTTATGAGTAAAGATGCTGGTGAAATAAAATTAGAGTGATGAAATTGGTGAAATTAATTTCACCATCATCTCTAGTTACGACAGTGTTTCGAGCGAAACTAGTTTCGGAGGGTTTCAGACTTATAGGGCGAACCTAAAATTCCTCTGGGCGAAACGTTTCGGATTTGAAGATTAGTTTAGCCCGAAACACTGATTATGAGTCATACGAAAAAAAACAAATTGTATTAAATTTATTTTTTAAAATAAATATATTTTTTATTAAAATAAGCTAGAGTTTTATAATACATATACGTATAGTTAAATATACTATATGATTGAATTGGGGATTTCAAATTAACAGATAAGTGGCGCATTTCGAAAACTAGCAGGATTTTTTAAATAGCATTTTTTACTATATATGTTGAATTATAAATCGGAAAAAATAAATTAAGTTTCTCGATTTTAATTTTGAAACCTCCATTGGTATTAAAAAAAAATAAAATAAACAAGAATTAAACGTTCTTAGGTATTTCACTCAATTAAAGAATAAAATACGGATCCGTTTTTTATTGAGCTGCTATATCAGTTATAGATTCAATTTATTGTAATATTTATTTATTGTTCACCTGTATTTGAAAAAGAATATTTATTTCCTAAAGTTATTTTGAGATCGGGCAAAATAATTTTTATATAGACACAGTAGACACAGTATATATGTCATATCTCGATTAGAATAGGCAAAGTTTTTGAATAAAATTAAAATTTGGCTGAGGTGCATTAGACTGGGTTTATCATGTATAAATAAAAATTAGTTCACTTAAATTTTTTATATACTATTTATATATTTTGTATGTACATACAAACTTTTAATAGTTATTTTAATAACATTATAAAGTTATTTTGCTATAAGGTCTCTAAACATTAAAAAAAAACTTTAAATTATTTAATACAAGTATTGGTTATGGGTCTGTTTTTTTTTTTAGCAAATCTCAAACTAAATAATTTGGAATTTTACTATAACAAAATTCTAAATATTATTATTATGATATTATTAATATTAAATACTATATTAATATTATTATTTTTTTTTTTAGTATTAAAGGTGATTTCTTTGGCATTAACTTTTATTACATCAGCAAAAAAAAATTTTAAAAGTTATTGCAGGTGAAAAAATTTCAAAAGAATTGTGATTAATGTGATAGCTTGCAAAATTTTAACTTTTGCAAAATTTTGCAAAAAATTTTGCAATATTATGAAAATATTTGCAAAATATTGTGAAAAATACAAAATAAAACAAATACAGAGGAGGTGACAAAAATAATTCCACAACTAAGGACTTGGCTTATAACTTAAAGACTTATTAATTAATTTTGGCTTTTATTTATTTACCTAAATCTATATCTTTCTGTGATTATATGATATTATTTTTAAATTATATACTTGTATAATTAACAAGTTAT